TTCTGACTTTCTCTTTAAAGCTGGCATTCCTGACCTTGTCTCTTCTTGTATTGCTAGTGAACTTGCAGAGACAGCGCATTTCACGTGTAGTTATTTGCTGTTCTAGTGCCCTAATCATTGTACATGTTTGGCACTGATAACGTAAAGTTCGGATAAAGATGCTGTTAGTCAATTGCTGTTTTGCTGAACGGGAGATACTTGGGTTAGTGTGTAGACAGTGTGGCTAACGGGTATGTGACAGCATTTCTCCCTTTGTACTCTGGTTTTTATCTCTCTCTGCCATTCTCTGTAGATATGCTTCCTAAATATTTGAAATCTCGTACTAGTTGGATTGGGAGTCGCCGTGGCCGAGCGGCTAGACGCTCGCCGCGGATCGGAAGGTCGTGGGTTCGTTCCCTGGCGGACGCGGACTTTTCTTCAAAAATGACCTTGACTCCCAGGTCGACCCAGCCTTGAGTGGGTATCGGGTGCAATCCCGGGAAGTAGAGGCGGCCGGCGTGATGCTGACCACATCACCCATCTTGTGCCGTTGGTCTATAAAAATATAGGTCTAGCCCTATATGCCCTATACGCCTAAAGGCGTGGAAAGGGTCCTTTACTTTACTTTTTTACTAGTTAGATTGTAATAACGTTAACATAAACGTTTATGATATTCTATTTTCCGGCAAATTCTCACTACCTCAGTTTTCGCAGTGTTTATCCTCATATTATATTTTGTCTTTATTTACGATATAATATATCACTTTATTGATAAAATCTTTAGTCACACTTTCGATTGCACTTGTGCGTGTTTTTTCCATTCCTTCTGTTGACTTTCACGTCACATTTTATGTCAGATTTAGTAGATCTACATAAACTGACAACACTGTCGCTGGTGAAACGGCGAATGTCTTTACACGACGAATTATCCACAAGTAACAGCCGAAGATCGATAAAACACTATCTCCCTAACCAAAGCTCACGCCTTTGGTTTCGTTTTTATAGCAGACCTTTATGTTCACAATCTTAGAAAGCTCCCCTTTTACTGCTGATAGTTTCACATTACTTGCATTAAGGTTAACATTTCTGTAATGGTGTTTGTCCTGTTACCAGTAGCAAGGATGGTGCTAGTGGCGGTTGTAAAATGTCCATTTTCCACGCCGTTAGGCGAAGTGGGCATATGACAAGTAAAGGATCCTTATCCATGCCGTTAGGTTATTGGGTATATAGGGCTAGCCCTATATTTTAAAGACTTATCGGCACTCGGTGAGTGATGTGGTCAACATCACACCGGTTGCCTTTACTTCCCAGGACTTTATCTTGTATCCAGTTTGAACTTGTTCTACCTAGGAGCCAAGATCTGTTTTGAAAAAAAAAAAAAAAAAAAAAAAAAACATGGGTCGATGCCGATTTGAACCAACCTTCGAGCCAGAGGCAAGCGTCTGACCGCTAACCCACAGCGACTCCCTAGTGGCAGTTGTGGTAGTATTAAAAGAAGAAACAAGGAAAAGTCGGGAGATGTGAACCAGCGTCATTGCACACGGTTATAAACCATAAGTGCTCTGCCACCAGTACGGACAGCTCATAAGAAACTGTCTGCCTGTATCGCCGCCCGCACGAAACTCCGTAGCTACAGTGATGTTCCTCCATTTACCTCAGAGTGTTAACTCTGGTACCAATTTTCTAGAGGCTGTGTGAACCCCGGGAACCGACCGGTTTCGAACAACGGCAGTGGGCTGCAGCGTGTCGCAATCTGGACTTGAAAGCGAGTCTCATATCGACTGCGCTAACGCGCCATTAAAATAGTAATAATAAATAATTTAAAAAAAAACGCAAAATGATTATTCATGTAAGAAAAAAAAAAAAAAAAAAGAATTGAGAAAGATAAATAAAAAAAAAAAACATTGCAGCTGGAACGCCTTAATCAGCATACAATAATGCGGATAATGACTACAAACAACCATGGTATCTTTTCCGGCGGTATGCAACGGCACGCAGTACCAGCACCGTTTTAAGGCATCGTTATTGTTCAGTACTACTGTAATATATACTTTTTGATGATTACCGTCATCTTTTTAATTTTTAAAATAAAAAAAAATAAAAAATTTGGTAACTACAAGCATCTATTTTTTGTTTATATATATATATATATATATATATATATATATATATATTATATATATATATATATATATATATATATATATATATATATATATATATATAAATGCGTTGCAAACATTAATACCTAAAGTCATTTATCCATCGCTAAACGTTTGTTCATTTCAAATGGAAAACTACTGATAGTGAAATTGTGCTGTGAGACCACAAGCAGCCAAAACATGGTGCACTTTGTCTGCAACGTCAGGTAGGAAAAAAAAAGCACAAAACTGTATTATTTGTCGACAAAATGGAATCTAGAATATTCACAACATGTCCTGATGTAACTTGTCTTGACAAATGTCTGGCAATTTCCCAGGAAGAGCTAAACGAAGGCAGCACGAACAGATCGATGAGCACCATCTCCATAACCCTACATGACACTTTCACTGTTATCTGGACAATCGCCTGTGAAACTCTCAGTTGTGAATGAAAGAAAGAGTCGGGGCTTTTTTGTACGCACCCATTTACGCACCCATGAACGCACGCAAGAACGCACTTATAACAGGTACTTTATGCACGGCATCTTTTTTTCTGCACTACTGTAATAGGTAGATTGTGGTAATTATTTCGTAATTTTGTTAGTTGTCAGGTGGGCAGTGAAACAATCTTCTACGTTTTGGTGGGTCCGCTTGCAAACAGGCTGAGAAAAACTTGTCCGTATGACATCGGCCGCCTGTATTTCCCGTATTTTCACCAAACCAGTTGTAAGCGCGAGCAATTCTATATTATTATTATTATTATTATTATTATTATTATTATTATTATTATTATTATTATTATTATTATTATTATTATTATTATTATTATTATTATATTATTATTATTATATTATTATCATCATGATGTTGTGCCTTCAGCTTAAAACGTGTTCTGACAGCTGCCTTATGCGTCGAATGTATGCATGTCGTATTGGCTTTATCGAAACTGCAGGCTGTGTGAATGTCAATTTTTTCCACTACGAACGTGGTGGGCATTAACCATAATTTTCAATAGTACCGAACATTGCAACTTTTTTTTCTGTCTTTCGTATAATCGAGAAGATGGACTTCATTGCACCAGTTTTCCGTCCCAGATAACCCAGTCACTCTCTCCACTAAACAATTTTCCGCCTGCTGAGAGCGTCTCACAAAGAATGAACACCGTAGCTCCGGCGACAAATCCCTCACGGGTCTCCGTAACAATTAGATTCGTGAACCGAACCATTTGAACTTCAGGGCTCGAGGCAAACGACCACTTCGGGTGACCCGTTTGAAAGAGCCTAACGGGACTGGATTAATCAAGTAACAGAAAATGTATTGATCGGCACTCATAGAAAGAAGTAGAAGGATAGAAGAGCACATTAGACAACATACAAATCGATAGCTATAGTTATCGGGACGGGAATTGAACCTGTCACCTCCAGACGGCGTGTGCGCCTTGCCATGGATAAAAGTGCACTAAGAACATGGTCAACTAGGCACCCCCCCCCACCCCCCAAAAAAGGTGTCTTATTGGCCATGTCTGTCGTACGGCTTGAAATCCACAACTATGGAATACGGACAGAATTCATTTCAAACCCTTAGAATGACACTATAGATTACAGCTGGAGTATGTAGTTTAATTTAGTTGAACATAGGCCTTGGCTCCAAAAAGTACCTGGAAAAATATAGTCAAAATCAGCCCGCGTGTTCCACATAACAACTCCCATCGTGTCCCGTTGCTGGCTCTTTCCGTCATTCCAGAAGATAGTCTTATACTGTGCTATGGAAAGGTAAAGAACTGGCAGCCCGGCTCTCTAGCGTAGTTGGCTTAACCGGATTGCGCAGAGACCAGGTGACGAACTCCTTGTGGTCCGGGTTTAATCCCGGGGGTAGGCAGAAAAGCAGCATTTTCTCCCAGATTTACGGTATTTACAATGGAATCAAGGCCAAAAGGTTGCGATATCCATAATACCGAGCCTAAGGGTTAACAACTCATGGCTTCTGGATACGAAAACAAACAAACAAACATAAAACTGGCAGCCCATGGCGACGGCGAGTGTGATTAGCAAGACCCGCCAGCGTTAAGAAAAGTTTAAAATTCGAGCATAAGATTTTATTTAGTGTGCTTCTTCTCATACACTCAGCTCTCAACCTTAGTGTGCTTCCCAGACAATCCTCTCGCAACAATAGTGTGCTTCCCAGACAATCCTCTCTCAACCTTAGTGTGCTTCCCAGACAATCCTCTCTCAACCTTAGTGTGCTTCCCAGACAATCCTCTCTCAACCTTAGTGTGCTTCCCAGACAATCCTCTCTCAACCTTAGTGTGCTTCCCAGACAATCCTCTCTCAACCTTAGTGTGATTCCCAGACACTACTCTCTCAACAATAGTGTGCTTCCCAGACACTCCTCTCTCAACAATAGTGTGCTTCCCAGACACTACTCTCTCAACAATAATGTGCTTCCCTGATACTCCTCTCTCAACCTTAGTACACTTCTTTCCAGACACTCCTCTATCAACAATAGTGTGCTTCCCAGACACTACTCTCTCAACCTTAATGTGCTTCCCAGACACTCCTCTCTCAACCTTAGTACACTTCTTTCCAGACACTCCTCTATCAACAATAGTGTGCTTCCCAGACACTACTCTGTCAACAATAGTGTGCTTCCCAGACACTCCTCTCTCAACCTTAGTACACTTCTTCCCAGACACTCCTCTCCCAATCTTAGTGTGCTTCCCATACACTTCTCTCTCAACCTAAATGCACTTCTTCCCAGACACCTCTCTCTCAATCTTAGTGTGCTTCCCAGGCACTTCTCACTCAGTATTAGTACACTCCTTTCCAGACACTCCTCTTTCAACAATAGTGTGCTTCCCAGACACTCCTCTCTCTACCTTAGAACACTTCTTCCCAGACACTCCTCTCTCAACAAAAATGTACTTCCCAGACACTCCTCTCTCAACCTTAGTACACTTCTTCCCAGACACTCCTCTCTCAACCTTAGTACACTTCTTCCCAGACACTCCTCTCTCAACCTTAGTACACTTCTTCCTAGACACTCCTCTCTCAACAATAGTATGCTTCCCAGACACTCCTCTCTCAACAATAGTGTGCTTCCCAGACACTCCTCTCTCAACCTTAGTACACTTCTTCCCAGACACTCCTCTCTCAACCTTAGTACACTTCTTCCCAGACACTCCTCTCTCAACCTTAGTACACTTCTTCCTAGACACTCCTCTCTCAACAATAGTATGCTTCCCAGACACTCCTCTCTCAACAATAGTGTGCTTCCCAGACACTCCTCTCTCAACCTTAGTACACTTCTTCCCAGACACTCCTCTCTCAACCTGAGTGCACTTTTTCCCAGACACTCCTTTCTCAACCTTAGTGCATTTCTTCCTAGACACTCCTCTCTCAACGTTATTGTGCTTCCCAGACACTCCTCTCTCAACCTTAGTGTGCTTCTTCCTAGACACTCCTCTCTCAACCTTAGTGCACTTCTTCCCAGACACTCCTCTCTCAACCTTAGTGTGCTTCTTCCTAGACACTCCTCTCTCAACCTTAGTGTGCTTCTTCCTAGACACTCCTCTCTCAACCTTAGTGCACTTCTTCCCAGACACTCCTCTCTCAACCTTAGTACACTTCTTCCCAGACACTCCTCTGTCAACCTAGTGCACTTCTTCCCAGACACTCCTCTGTCAACCTAGTGCACTTCTTCCCAGACACTACTCTCTCAACCTAGTGCACTTCTTTCCAGACACTCCTCTATCAATCTTAGTGCACTTCTTCCCAGACACTCCTCTCTCAACCTTAGTGCACTTCTTCCCAGACACTCCTCTCTCAACCTAGTGCACTTCTTCCCAGACACTCCTCTGTCAACCTTAGTGCACTTCTTCCCAGACACTCCTCTGTCAACCTTAGTGCACTTCTTCCCAGACACTCCTCTGTCAACCTTAGTGCACTTCTTCCCAGACACTCCTCTGTCAACCTTAGTGCACTTCTTCCCAGACACTCCTCTGTCAACCTAGTGCACTTCTTCCCAGACACTCCTCTCTCAACCTTAGTGCACTTCTTCCCAGACACTCCTCTCTCAACCTTAGTGTGCTTCTTCCTAGACACTCCTCTCTCAACGTTATTGTGCTTCCCAGACACTCCTCTCTCAACCTTAGTGTGCTTCTTCCTAGACACTCCTCTCTCAACCTTAGTACACTTCTTCCCAGACACTCCTCTGTCAACCTTAGTGCACTTCTTCCCAGACACTCCTCTCTCAACCTAGTGCAATTCTTCCTAGACACTCCTCTCTCAACCTAGTGCAATTCTTCCCAGACACTCCTCTCTCAACCTAGTGCAATTCTTCCCAGACACTCCTCTCTCAACCTAGTGCACTTCTTTCCAGACACTTGGCTGTCAACCTTAGTGCACTTCTTCCCAGACACTTGGCTGTCAACCTTAGTGCACTTCTTCCCAGACACTTGGCTGTCAACCTTAGTGTGCTTTTTCTCGGATACTCAAGTCTCAACCTTCCTGCGATCACTTTTACCTTTATTCTTATTGCCTTCTAGGCCCCCTGACCCCACTGTGTAAAACACCTCCTTTGCATTTTTTTCACTCTAAATACGTGTGTTATTCATTTCCTGCTTGCAGATATATTTATATCGCAGTAAAGTTCAGCCTCGACTTCGTCTACCCATTTGTAATTCGCAATATAAAATGTCCTTAGGGACTCTACCATCCTCCTTTATCCATGCCTGACCCAGCCACCTGAGCCTCCTGAGACATCGTGTGCAGACTGCCTGTTAGAAGGTATAGAGCTAGCACATTTCACCAATACACAGATCTCAAAGTTTGGGGAAAGTGCCCTAACAGTTAAAAACAGACAGATAATTTATAAATTCAGTAACAGTACTCACCTCTCTTTACATTATTTGTGTCAGCTGAAATAAAGAATACAGTGTTGTTATTATAATAATATCATTATTAAGAGAAACAATTTCAACAATTTAAAACACAAAATCTCTACAATAACTCTAATGTTTATTTTGCTTCAATTGTTTCAAAAGTTTCTAATCTATGTGCAATGAGAGGGTGGGCGCCCACTGAGGAAACTTTCCAGATTGCCTAATTTATATGTTTTCTTGTCACTTTTGGGGAAACCATTAGGGCCACTGATACAGCACAGAAAATATGTGAACACGTGAACACGTACTGATTGTCGCTCACAGAAGCAGAATAAAGAAATACATAAATTAAAGAGATAACTATACAAAATTTAAAAAAAAGCTTTAGCAACTCTAGGGAGATTAAAACTCGTTAGGTTAGTGCAGATTCCACGGTTTAATTATTTGTTTAGTCAAGTGTTTACTTTATAAATGTTTTATAATATGTGTTTTCTTATTCATTTATGGGTTTAGATGTCTATTTAGTCATGGTTTTAGAAATGTTTTATGTTTCTGTTTAGTCCTAAGATGGTTTATTGATTTGTTTGTTTAGCCCTGTGCCATACACCTTGCGTTGGTTTCGACAGTGGTATCAGGGAGCTGACCGTCCAGAGCAATGGCAAACTACTGGACGCAAATTTGCCTAGTGAAACCACACAACAGCCAGGGGCTGATGGGGTTGGTTCTGCAACGTCCTGTAAAGGATACGCAACTAACCTTTGTGTAGTCATATGTTTGTGTAGTCATTGGCTTCAAACAATTATGAGGGGGAAAACACACAGAATCCGACCTCCGTGTAATGAAAAGAGCCCTCTTTGGTCATGTAATGAAAAAGATTTAGAGAACATCGCGATGCCAGAAAATACCAGGGATAGAAGAAACAAATGATACCGGGTGGTCTAAGACGGTAGAACATAGTAAAATCATTAACCTACTAGATCCATAACACAAACGACAAAGATCTGGAAAGACCTGGACATCAGCACCATCTATCAAGGCAGACTGTCATCCATTAAAGGGTTTTGCTAAATAGCTTGGGGGGGGGGGGGGAGATTTCTAACAGTATATATCTTTACTGTCAGGATTTTCCTAGCCTTTTCTTCCTTTGTGACTCCCTTATGAAACCTGCATGCACAGTCATCAAGTCATTAACATCATGTTTCAGATTCTGTCTTCTTACAACAAGACCAAATATGATGACTGTCTCCTTCGGATGGTTGTAATAAGCTGACAAGTCGAGGCAGATACAAAATAATAATCCAGTTTGAAATGAGTCATGTGGCTTTAAATGAACCATGTTTGGCATTTCTTTTCGGTAATTTAAATTGAGGGTATAATAAAGGCAAAAGAAAAAAGTATAAAAAAGACTTCAAGTAACTAGGAAGGATAACATCATCCGATGTAAAAATCGAAGCCGACATAAAACACAGACGCAATAAAGCAAATGAAATCACCGGACAGATGTCACCAGTTTGGAGAACAAGCATGTAACAAACACCGCACACCAAAAGAGCACTATTCAATACAGTATATTTTTTTTTCAAACCAACATTGTGTTACCAGTTTCCAACGTAGACATAAATAACAAATGAAGAATGACACATGCCTACGACGAACTACAGATGTAACTAGTAGAGGCAGGATCAGAACAGACGTTGGGATGGAACTAGTACTAAACTAAACCAAGATACAACGGGTCAAATGGTTTGGTCATGTGTCAAGACTACCGCCAGACAGTGCACAGAGAGAGAGAGAGATATGTCACTAAGACATCATGGAAGCAGACTAGAGGTCGACAACGCAAGGTTAAAAAGGTCATACCATATAGATACCTTTATACTCTACATCTAGTTGATACTATCTCTAATTAAGTGTATCAAATGAAAGTACAATCAGACAAATTAAATCAAAGAAATTAAAAATAGATGTAGAGCTATTTTTAAAATGAGATCATCGTCATCATCACCACCAACATCATCATCATCCTCCTGCAATGCCATTAACACAACACATACATCAAGTCGATTCCTCATGCCGCTTTATACTGTACAGTTTTGTGAATATCATGTTTAGAAACTAGTCAAGCACATCAGGTCTCTCGCATCAAAGTTGGACTCCGAGTTTCCTTGAACACCCTCACTTCCTCGAAGCAAGTCTTTCAGAACTCACTAGGTACTAGAGAACTAGTCCACACCACTAGTTTTGGTGCAATTAATATTTCTTAGTATAACTGGCACAAAGAAACGAGACCACACATATAACCGATACTACTCGGTTAAATGTGGTCGAATTTTTTGTTTTGTTTTTCACAATTGGATGGACTGATAGTGCCTGTTTAATTTAATTCTTAGCCTCCTTCGTTGCATAATAGGTCCGAAATATCGTCATCTTGTTTCTCATAGATTCAGATACCAAAGGCTGTCCAGACAAGGTATATTACACTTATTAACCGTGTAGAAAAATTAGTCCTCACAATTGGGAATATGGGCTAAAACACTTACGATACTGGTATTTTGATAATTATTACCAGGAATTACATTTACAACTACACGTAATCTTCCAGGGAATTTCATTTGAAAGCACAATCAAGTTTATTTATCGTCACGATCACCGGCTGTAAACTCCGGTGGAAAGTTTTGGTTGTTCATCCATTTTTTAAATTTAGTCTGGTTCCAGAACCCAGAATAATATTTTCGGGAAACAAGTTCATACGTTTGTATGTACATATACTTTTTTTTCTTATTATCTGCAATGTTTACTTGAAAGTTCATGCAATAACAAAATATACGTGGAGAAGCGCAATGGTTGGAATGAGGCATATAGACCTGGTATGTCTTCGGCATAACAACAAGGCTAGAATTAATAGGTTAAGGGACGCAACATCTGCTTCAGTGTTGCCACTTTTCTTTGACAAAAAGTATCCAAAACGGTGTCAAAAAAATCTAAAAAGATCTAAATCTGCGTGGAAAAGATCTAGAAAAAACATCCAAATTTAAAAAGTCAAAAATTACATAGCTTTTGTTATGACTTACCTTACATAATCATGTCCTCACCTTCACTGATGTCTGCCTCACAGGATCCACAGGATAAACTTAGCTTGGATAATGAAGTTGAAGCTTCAGATTCAAAATGACCCTGGTATGCTTTAGCTGTTTAAATTTCTTTATAAGTGGAACAGTAGGCTTATTTTTCTAGTCTCATCAGGCCGAATTTTAATGGCACGATAGCATTTAAGAGGTCAAATTTTATCCTGTTTTTTAGGTTAGATTTGATATAATTCCTAGCACTGAAAACTCTTTCTACGTCAGCATTTGAGTGTGGTAGTATCATGGCAGACATGGCACTTTAAAGAGCTTACAGAATTGACTGTTTGATGCGGCATCTTTAAAATGTATCACTTCACTCCAAAACGCTTTAGTCTCTGTTTTGTTTGTCCATTCAGCTAACTTTATTTTGGTTAACTGATATTCTGCTCCCGCGACACTATTATCAGTAGCCCCTAAAAATTTCACAACTTTACAATATTTAGGTATGTCCTTTACTGGCTGAAGTATGTTGCTCACAGAAAAAAAGTGAAATATTTTTCAAAACATATAGATTTTCAGGAAGTCTCTGCTTCAATAATGAGATAAGGAAATCTTGACAGCGTTTTCTTAAGTTGTTCTCTTCATTCTCTGTTAACAGTCCTTTTGTTTTTAAATCATTAATTTTTGATTCGATTTAATATCCAAGGTGT